CGGTAAAACACACACACCGACACACACACAAACACACCGACACACCAACAGACACACCTAGCGAATTATATAAAGTAGGATAACGCGATCGCGTCTGGTAACTCTGGTGAGGCGTTCTTCAGGCAGTCGAGTCCCGCTTTAAGGTTGTCGTAGTCCTTGGAGTCTTCCATTTTTTCTTAAGAAGTAAGTCCATACTAAGTGAATTTGCAACTATTTCTGATTCTAAATTGATACTTGTATATATCTTTTTGAGTAAATAAGTTGATGGCGTTTCTCGTGACTACTCTCTCGCATCATATCCTCTCTATCTTGGTTTCTCGTACTTTTGGTAAGTATCCATGAGAAAGTCTTTAATGGGCAAAGGGTGAGCTTAATTGTTAAGCGCAGCATCAGTTTAAGTACTCTCATTCTCATGGTTTGAAGGAGTATGTTCGAGAGTAGTAAAAAGTGGCGACTGCGACAATTTCTAGATTTACTGTTTTACCAGAAAAAAATCATTGAGATGATGTGCTGAAAGTCCGGCCATGCGACCTCGTGAGTAAGTTGAACTTTTGCTTCGGATTAATGCATATATGTGAGTTTTAAAATTGTTGACATTGGAGCAGTTTAAAAGATGTCGCGCGGAGTCTAGATGTAAACGGAGTGTTGTTTCGGTAGCTTCTGGGTCGCATGTCACCACGAAGGAGTGTTTACCGCACGTTATTTTTCAAGGATCTTTTTGTTCGCCTCGCAATGATTTTTTGATTACGCCCTTTCATACAACTGTAGCAACCCTGTAGTGCTCCAATCGGTACTGAACAAGTATCGTTTTGGGTCAAGAGTTTGGTGGTCTGCCTGTAGAAACTCCAATATGATATTAGCGTTCACCATCTGAGGGTAATTTGAGGGGTCCATCGTTTCGATTCCCGAGCTCCAGTTTTTGAAGGGATTTTCAAGGGCTTTTTTCGATCTTACTAATTTCTGTCTCCACGTCGATAGTGGAGCATATGCAGTTAACTTTGTTTTCCGCGTGAAAACAACGACAGTCGACTATCGCTGAACGATTTCCTGACGTGGCTTCTTCTATAGAGTTGCGAACAAGGTTTGGAGTTGTTCGAGCATTCCATATGGCCGCTTCTTCGTTGTATGCTACGGACACATAGTCAAGCGGTGGAATGGGTGGTGAGGTGAGCGTTGTCGCTGTGAAACGTATTGAAGGTAGTTCTACCGGAATGTTCGGAGTGAGTCCGAAGACTTATCACTTCGCACCTGCAGGGTTATGGAGATCTTCAGTCAGTATCTCCATTTTTATTTCTTCTGTTCATCTAGTGCACCGAAACAATTTGTAAATTTTCAGTGACGTTGGAACGGTGTATATGCGATAAAACAGGCATCCTGAGCAGGTAAAAGCAGTCGCATCCAGATCCCCCACAAGATTCCACGCATCCTGTCCTGCCTGGAAAGCTGTTTGCGACTGCTAGTTCTTCTAGAAGAGTCGAAGTTTCTGGCCGATGCACCATGAAAATGAAGTGTATAAGAGGTAGCTCAGGTTGAGCCACGCGGATATTCAACCACACCACACAGAGTCTAACACTTTATCCACAGGACGACAGATAGAGCCTCAAACTTGGGTGATCAAACCATAATCAGTAACAGACAACAGAGTCGAATTTTAAGTAGAAAAGAGCACTTAGTAATACAGTATATGACATCTTGAATAAGTGAAGGCAACAATCTGAAGTGACCATGAGTAATAGTAGTGGATAACAAGGATGACAGAAAGTAACCTTAAGTGTTATAATAAAGCGTAATAACAGCCATAAAGCGTATCGAGAGGCATGGAAGAAACACATTATAAAGAAAAGTATGGCTATGAGTCATCCTACTATTTTATATACCAAAGACGAGGGCTCGCGTTCCCTGATGAAACATGAGATAAGACGCGAGCCAGCATCTCTCTCATTCGCAACCGAGCGTTAATTTATTTAACTTATTGATCGGATTCCAGAGCACTAAGATCGCGGTACTCCGCGATAGTAAGTGTTATGAATTGATTGGTAAGTGGTAATCAAGCTTCCAAGCCCATTATGAGTTCTTATTTATCGAATCCTGTCACAGAGCACCTACAGCCCCGTCACGATTTAAATCACCTATTAAAATGACACAGTTTTAGTGTTCAGTCAAATCATGAATATACAATTCATGCTAAAACTTTGTTTACGTAAGGGGTGTGAGAGACATAAACTGACTTATCTCTTATATAAGCACTATCGTGGCAAGAAGCTGAAAACAAATTTCATACGTAGGGTAGTGTGTTCCATTTTTATTCATCTGAACTGGGATGTCTGGACTCGAATCTCAGAATCGAGTCGATCCCAAACAACCGGAGGTAAACTTTTGTTCGCTAATTCGACTCTATTTTTGTAGACATGGAATAAAAGGTACATAAGCCAATAAAGCAAAACGCAAAGCACTTCAGTTTTCCAGTCCGTATACCAGATTTATGATTTTCTTGTAAAAAAAGGCAAAGCTGGGTGTGAGTAAGGGTAGGTTTTCGGGTCGCCGCATAAAAGTCGGCAAATGCTACATTGACTAATTCGAATAGGAATAGTATCACGAGGAAAACTGAGGGGAGAGTTTTCTTGAAGACTGATTATGTCATTCTGTGTACTGCCCGAAACCTAAACCCAAGCAACCTCACCGGATCATTCTTTCCTGAATGTATTAAGCAACGAAATTCGAGGAGTCTCGTAGCTGGTGAAGGGGAGAAACCAATACTGCAAATGATCTTCTTCTGATTCAAAACGGTCCGTAACTACTCTAATCTACTTTTTGCAGATTCCCAGAGAGTCCAGATCGAAGGTTTGTCGACTTTCTTCTACCCAACAATGAGTTACAACACGTTTCATCGTTCCATTATAGATCATCAAAAGCAGGGTGAAAGTGTAGTAAGGGTTTTACAGTGCCCTAGGTCTCCAATACTAAGATAGATTATCGGGTCTGTGAGCGTAATGCTCAAAACATTCTTAGAAAGAGATGTAACTCCTCGCTCATCTTATAGAAGAGAAGGAGCACCGGAATGGATGAGATGCTCTTCTTCTGCAAAAATATGGAATGAAAGAAAATGACATACTAATGAAAGGTGTAAGAAGAAGCGCAAAAGGATATCATCCTTCTGAGACAGGACAGTTACAGAGCCCTTATTAACCTCGGTTCAGGAGGCAGAGCGTTTTTACTGCTCCATCTCTCTCCGACTCCTCCAATAGTACCTCATCATCAAAAAAAAAAGAGTAGACCTAAGAACTCGCCATCCCTCATTTTCTACTGCAATAACACCATGCATAGAAAATACTACTACTTGTTAGCTCCTGCCAAATTAAATCACACCATTCCTCATTTTCCATGCCTTCTCTCTTCTTATCGGTCCAGGGCGTGAAGTGTTCATAAATTAACGGAGCTTACTTATTCTTATCATCTAAAACTCATGTTCGTGTTCCCTGCCCACTCTTCAAGAGCCTTCAGACA